AATACTTCCTTTAGTCTTCACCACTGTAGGACACCTTGAGAAGCCAGGTATCATACTACTGTGTCCTTTACAAAAGTAGAGTAGTGGTAGTGCTACCCTTGCAGACTTAGCATATTAAACATACCTTGCAGAAAGACCCTGGCCAGGACAACCCACGTAGCTTAAATGTGCCTAGATGAACATCCCTACAAATTTCAACAGAAATGCTCTCAGGCACAAAGTCAAATCCAGGCATATGGGTCCTTTGCAGCAGTAGGGCCCAAGACCTGTAACCATCCCCACCAGCTCTATTAAAATCGACCCTTCAGCGGAACCTGTAGAAGACACTGAGCTATTGAGGTGGCAGTGCCACACACAAATGGGTGTTTCACCTTGGATACAGCACCTACCACACACTTAAATGCACCTTACTCTACACAGGCTCAAAACAGAACAGCTGGACTGTGTCTTGCTCAGTCAAAAATGTCCCTGGAAGAGGGAGACTTACTGCTTTAACTCTGATTTAGAGTTAAACCTCTTTCTGCCTGTAACAACATGACAATACAAAGTTGTGCCGAAGTTGGTACTCACTGAGGGCCAAGGTCTTTTTCCAGAGAGGAGTCCCATGGTGTTACAGCCTTGTTGCTGCTTTCACCTACAGCCCTTGGCCACACACAAGCCCATATGTACAACCCCACTGCCTTGTGTACAGATGTCTGGTGTGCCCCCAAATCCACAGGGAACAAAAAATCCTCAGGCTGCCAAGCCCCCCACCCCGACATCACTCAGTGGTGCTTGGTGGGGGACAGACAGTTCCAAACATTTCCTTGTAGCTCTTCACTGAAACAGGCACCAAAGAATCTCAACTCCTGGACACCAGAGTAGCTATCTACAAGGGCTGGTCTGGGAGAAATGCAGTACTAAATTAGCAGTTACCCATGAAACATGCAACTGACATGATGTATTTTTGGCCTGATTCCTATCTCTCAGTACCCTTTAGTGAATTTTCTCCTCAGCTAATTTTAACCAGATTTGAAAGAAGGACTGGACTATCACAGATAATTATATTTTTATAAGTTTCAAGGATCTGACAGCTGGAGAGAGAATTAAGACCAAAATTAGTGCTTTCTATTAAGGGAAAGCAGGCAAAATTCAGCCGGTATATATTCTAGCAAGCCTGAGGCAGCCAATGAACCCGTACACGTTTGGCGGCAGAGTAGCATTGCTTGGCATTTTCTCTTGCCAGAGCTGTTAGTTTTCCAGTAGTGTATGGTTTAGGACACAAACTCTTAAGGGTCCGTGTTTAATTATTTCTGATATTGTCATAATAGTTTCTATAATTTTGTTGAGGTATTTGTAATAGCAGAGCATCAACTGAAATTAGGATGATTTGTGAAGGAGTCAAAACTATCAATTATTGTAGGAAAAAAATGCAATTACAACACCACAGAAATTACTTTTATTCCTCTTGAAGAGTCTGTTGCTCAACTTTAATCTTGCCGTTACCAGAAAGTAAGATTGGGCTGTGAAATTTGTATTTATTAGAAAAGGAATTCCAAGCATGTCAGGCCAATCTTCTGTTATGTGTCAAATTAAGGGAAATAGTGTTTTGCCTCCAAATTAAAAAGAAAAACAATTCTTGAGGAATAAAAATGTCATTGTTCAAGGAAGAGTAATAAAGTATGAATGCCTTTCCTTCAGCTGACTCTCTTTGTAAATGAGCAAGAACACAGAGGTCAATAAATTGTCATTACCCGAGCTTCATAAATCCTCAGTGGTTGGATTTTACCACATAGTTTAAGTTGCAAGACTTATAAGAGGCCAAGATTCATTTGCAGTATTTATAGGCAAAGACGAGGTCTCCAAACTTGCGGTTGTTACCTGCACTGTCAACATGGAAAAAGCTGCTTGTCCTGGAAACTGCTGGTTCTAAAACACAGCTCTCTGCACATGAAACCATTAATAGGGACCTGTGGCCACTGAGTAGAACTAGGAGATTTACCTGTTCATTATCAAGATCATTTGCAAAAGACAACCTAATTTCTTACTGTCCTTTTGGCTAAAAGTTTGGTTAAAAGGGCCAGCACAGACACAAATAGCAAATATCCCTGAAACTTGAAGCATGACACAGAAAGGAAAAAGCAGGAAAGTTGATTAGAACAGGAGGTAAAATATGACCACGTATGCACAAAGTTGTACGACTCTTACAGGGAGCTACCCAAGGACTGCAGATGGGTTCCTCTCATAAGGATTCCATCCCTTCACTGAACAACATATTGAACTGTAAAGGATATATAGTAGCACAGTTTGGAAGGGGAAAAGCAGAAAAAACCCCCACAGGGTGTCTAGTGTACACTACAAAATTAAAAGACTGCTGAAAAGCACTTTCAGCCTTGTGGAAAACAAGTCTCAACTTACATGAATTGTCCTGTGACTAAAGTGTGAAGGAAATGTGTGTATTTAGGTACAATATCCTGAAGAAAATCTGCAAGTGTAGATTCAATTAACTATGAGTAAAATTTGGGCTTCTGGGTACCCTAACCACCTCAAATTTGAAGCTTGTGTTCCTTGCACACTTCATATAATTTTTACTCTTTCACTCCCTTTGAGTGAAGTAAGCTCAGTATGCCAGGCCCTGTATTACATGTTTCTCTCTGTAAGGATCCCAAAATACAAGCCATAGCTTGCCATCCTTCTCTAGCAGGACAAAGAGAGAGCCCTCTGAGGCAGTGTACAAATGTGAGAAAGCCACCATGACTGAGCTCTGAGCCAGACCAGAGGGGACAAGGGACCATAGGAAAGCTGTTAATTAGGCACTGCTTCTACAAGGAATAGGCTGATGGAGGGCATCATTATCACAAGGAAACATGCATCACTTCAAACAAGCTGCTTCTTGTCCTTGCTTAGTTAACGAAGAAGCCATTTGAGTATGCCAGGTTAAGATTACTATTACACACTGCCACGGGAAGTCCTTGAAAGCAGCCTATGAACCTAACAACAGAGAGCATGTGATAGCATTCAGAGCACAGCTCTGACTGCTCCCATGCCTTTGTGCAGCTCTTGGTGACCTTGGATATTCTGAGCAGGGACACAGGAAGTCTATTAAGTAGGAATTATTAAATATTGATTTTATTTTTTTTCCTGGCATTGGGTGTCAAGATAAATGCCAGAAATCCATCTGTCCTGTTGAAACTGACCCAGAAAAGGTGCTTCATCAAGTTCAAGTCCATGGAAAAGGAAGCAGGGACAATGAAGCAAGAAATTTTCCATCATACCCTCATAGATCACTCATGAGAACTCAAGAAAGTGTCCTGGATATTGAGACCACAATATCTGGCAAGAAGGGACTTTGCAAGTGGTCAGGAACTTTGCTGATCCTACACTTTGCAGTTGTCTGTCTTCCCACAGAGTCTTGGCCATAATCTCTCAACCAGGAATTCCTCGGTCATACCCAGTAACCTGTGCCATCTTTCTGCTTAGCCTGCATACATTGCCATTTACCCAGGTTGCAGCTGCTTCTGCAAAGAAGACTCAAAAGTAATATGTATTTGCACCAGATCTCATCCAGAAATCCTTAACTGTCTTCACTAACAGCTTATAAAAGAGTACCCTTCAGCAACTGTATTTGTTATTCATACCAAATTAACAAAACCCCCGTGTTTCTTCCAGAGCTCAGCACTGGATTTTAAGGCCGGTGTGACTTTGTTCAGAACTGGAAGAGCTCCAGGGCTGAAGGCAAGGAGGGTGCCAGCACTAGTGATGGCATTGAAGCTCAGCTGCAACTCGAACTAGGATACAGTCTTTCTGGCACCTCCAGTGCCACCAGATCTACTTTACTAAGGGAAGGCTGGAGGACATCTTAATGACTTATTCAGGCCAGAGTCAGGTTGTTCTCTGCTGACAATGCAACATACTCCTTTGAACAAGAGCTTCAGCTTACCCGTGTTTTTCCAGAAAATTTGGAACAACTGACCTCTTTGGAAGAGTCATAGCCCAAGGGGGTTGTGAAGTTTTGTCCTTGAGGATTTAAGGACCTGACTGATTAAAATCCTTAGTAACCTGGTCTAACCTCACTGTCTATCCTACTTTCAGCAAGAGGTGGGACTACAGATTTCCCAAGTTCAGTTCCAACCTGAACTGTCCTATAATCCTGGAAAAACATAGAAGACTTGTGGATAAATAGTCTTCTGCAATGTTTTTTCTCACATAGAGTAAGAGATGACATTTTTTTCAAAACTTAACTTATAGAAAAAATCTTGATTGCCTTGTGTCTTGCTCATAGTTGCTGGTATGTAATAAACAACATTTGTTATTTAATGTTATCAAAGCATTGATCCTCATTTCAACCTCTTGAAACCTAAGCCAATGTCTCTGTTTCATTCTGAATATTGATATAGTGCTTATCTGCAGTCTGTTTAGGCCTGGTGGGCTGAAACTTTAGGGGGATAAAAGAACAGAGAGGTCATCAACTACATCAGTTGGTTGAAAAGAGAAGAACCCTCTCTGAAAAATCCCCCTTAGCAACACTTGCCAGAGGAAGATGTTTTCCATGGGAATCTGTTGAGGAGCACAGGAAGATACCTGGAAAGCTCTTTTGCTGAAGTAAGCCTAGTTTTTTCGTGTGTCTTCATGTACATTTCAGTTTCTTCATAAAAGCAGATGTTTTCAGACAGAGATGGGTCTAAAAGCCATTTTCACATACAGGAAGACAAAGGCAAAATCAAAGTTAATTGTGTATGGGGTGAGGGGTATCAGCCTGCAAAGCTGTGGAAAATTGATCATGGTATGGAGAGTCCTGAGGAAGTTTTGCTTCTGAAAGGGGTACAAAGATGCTTGGGAGTCTTTCTGGTGCCTTACAGAGGCAGTACGGATTGTATAAAACACTTGCTCAAACTCTTGCACAAAATCATGGAACCACAGGATAACAAGCACAAAAGAACCTCTGACAGTCATCTAATCCCACTTCCAAAGATGAGCTATCACAGTTTTTCTGAACTTCTTCCAGTGTTTGGCCATGCTACCTGTGAAAATTTTCTTCCTTACATCCAACTGTAATTTCTCACGCTGCGACTTGTTGCCTCTTGTCCTTCCTCTGCTACACCAAAATCCAAACTATATTGGATGGTTCTCACAGTCCAAGCTTCCTGAAGAGATGGACAAGCAAAGACATCAGCTGGCAGAACATACAGTAACCATGTCTGGTGACAAAAGTGACTAATGGGTGACACAGAGAGGTGCAGCATCTACTTTTTAAGTAAAAAAGTGAAATCTGCTATATTTACTCTTTCATGCAAAGTCTGAACTTACTTAACTCATGGCTGAAGTACTGTAAAATCATAGTGTGAAATACTGGGAAATGTCAGCTATGCTGCTGAGAAAACCTTCCCTGAACCAAAATTTAGACATTGCCTTAAATAGAAATTTCCATTGTAATTGCCCTCCCTTCACCAAGTTGCTCTAGAATGGCAAATCTTCTTTGTTCTCCTAGATCCTAATACAAGTTCATTAATTTGCTCTCCACTTTGGAAACTAACCAAGTGTTACTAAAAATGACCATTCAGGTACAATTTCTATCACTTGCATTTGTAGCAAGTCATGTTTTGCCCTATGACTATTCCTGTTTATTTCTGGGTTGACAGAAGTGGCAAATTCTGGCCCATAATAACTGTGTGCCTCAAAAATAGAGAATGGAAGAGAGACAGTGAGAAGAGATTAGAGTACCATGTATGCTCAGTAACCACCCACACATGCCTGCACCCCCACAGAGACAAAGTCTCACTCTACAAAAAGTTATTAATTGTATTTTAAAGATCGACAGGTTAATTGAGCTGTTTTGGAAAAACTGACTACAGAATCAGTTTCATTCTGTCATTACATTTTGTCAAATTAAAAATCCAAGTACATTCTTTTAAAATCTACTAGGAAGCCTAATAAAGACTATGATGGAGTCTAGGACACCCTCACATTCTTTTCCACACTGCCTGCTTTCATTGCATATCATGAATATTGGCATCGAGCTCCCATACATCTAACTTCCAGACATTACCCTCCTTTTACAAGCTGGCTTTCACTGAGTACTTTGTATTGAAGGGTATGAGCCTGAAAAAAACATGAAGAGATAAGTCAAGTTTAAAGAGAATAAAACACAAACAAAAAACCTTCCAAAACATACTCATAAAAAGTAGAAATGAAGCACAAAGGAGTTTAAAAGAGTCAAAAAGATTTCTTTTCCCAGACATATTAGTGAAGTGCCTGGAAGAATGGTGATTAAAGTTTGCAGTCACAAAAAGTACATCCCACCTAACCCTATTTTTTCAGTAAATGCCTTCACTGTGTTTGGGCCCTTTTGAGGGGGAAGGAACCAAAGGACAACTATGACATTGTACCTAGGAGAACCAGACATCTCTGGGGGCTCTTCCAAAACATGCAATAATAGAAGGCATACTGTATATGTATACCTACACAGGCAGATATGAATAGCACAGTGGTGGGTTGTCCCTGCTCTACAGACTTCCAGTCTCTACAGACTTCACAAAATCTTAAAAAGAAAAGAGAAAAAAAAAATTAAAGCAAAAAATCTTACAGATCATTAAAATTAAAGTTAGTTCTAGGTAGTTTGGTGCTGTGGGCTAGTTTATATACCAAGAGTACATAGTACACAGACCTCTTTGAATAGACAGTGTCACCAGCACAAAACTTGCTCAGTCTCAAAAATTTCCCACCTCTGTTCTGCACAGTGTATGTCAAGAGCTTCACACAAAGCAGAGCACTCAGGTTTGCAGGACCTGGCTGCTGGAGAGCAGCATTGGGTGGCCTGTTGCATAGGCACTGTGCCAGGCAAACTGCAATATTGACATATTAACATCAATATTGATATATTAAGATTGACAAGCTGAGATGAAAAAGTGAAAAGATGAGGAGTCTCATTTTTCACTCAGAGGAATTTTGGAGCTTGGTTCCAAACTACCAACTTTTCTCCTCTGCATATGTCAAGATGACCTCCTACTTCCCACACAGCTACCAAATTTTGTCTATTCACAACTTCTCTCCTTCACTCTACCTCAGAAGCAGCAGGAAACTATCCAGCATTAAATAAAGAGCAGGCAGATTTTGCAGCCCATCCCTGGGGTCTGGGCACCAGAGAGCGGTTTCTGAGTGTAAAGGGATGGAGACAGCTTTCAGGTACACATGGCCTCCTTTCCCCCTGCTGTATCTGACATGGTCACAATAACCTTTGTTCCTTCAGGCCCCAGAGTTGCCACCAACAGCACCAAAGGAAAGGGCTGAAGAAGCATGGATAGTTACAGGGCCCTGTTGACTGGATTATTTTCTCACTAGTGAAACACTAGTGCTCCACAACCCTGGTTATCAGTGTGAGACTTCAATCACCATGAAAGCCACACAGTCCAGAAAATCCAGGAGTGCAATACTGTTTGACACTGGTGTAAGCACCACCATTACAGAGGACGCCCTCCCACTGGTTTTTCCTCAGTCAGCAGGTGAGGAGGGAGGCACTGCCACTAGCACATCTGTATCATGCAGCTGGGACATTCTGCTGCCACTCCACCATCAAGAGAGCAACATCCTCCCTCTCAGCTGCAGGGTAAAATACCTTTACAGACCTTGCTGTCAGCCTTGGTACTCTATCCCAGACTCTGATTTTTTCAGTGGGTTCAGCAATGAAACACCTAATGATGCCGGTGCCTGAATCATCTTTGGTCTCTGAGACAAATAGCTTGGGTATCCCTCTGCAGAACGATTGCTCCAGTCTCTTTGCAGTCTCAAGCAGGCATTAACACGGCCATGTGTCCCCTGCACACTGTGCCCTGCTTCCATTAGAATGCTTTGCAGCAAGATAAATTTGTCTCAGCACCTCCTCTGCTGCAAGTGCCTGCTCTTAAGAGGGAGTCTCTGATTCCAGCAGAGCCTCCCTCCCGGAGGTGTGGCACTGCGGGAAGGAAGACTGGGTATTGCACTTACAGTGAATGGGATTAGATGGCTGCTCTTGCTATTTCATCAAAAGACCCCCTTCCCCAGGCAACACTGATTCCACAGATATTTAAGCAGAATCAAGGTGAGATAAAGAGTATTGTATTAATACATATACGTATTCCTCCTTCTTCCAAACGTCAGCAGTTAGCATGCCTGATGAGAGATGCTGCAATGAAATGATTTCAGGTTGAGTGCATCACGTACTGACTCACTGCCATGAAGCTCTACACCAACAGAATTCCTGGTGAACAATGATGAAATATTCATCAGTTCATATTTGTAAATGGCCCAGCAGCATACTGAGTAAATGACCTCCGACGAAGCGCCTCACATTAAAATGGAACAGCAACCAGCTGAAATGAGTGAACTACAAACTATGCATGTGTTTTGTCAGCACAAACAAGCAGCAAACACAAACAGAAAGAAATCTAGTTGGACTCATCATCCTGACAGCGAGAAACAAATGAGAAGCCAGCCTGTTTGCTTCAGCAAGACCCACTGGTGGTACTCCTGTGGCAGGAGTGAGTAGGGCGACCTGGGCTAAGCATTACGTCCTGCCCTCTGTCATAAGCAGAAAGTGAACCAGGCAAGACAGAAGATTGAGCTGCTTGCTCTCCCCATGTGCTGGCCCAGATTGTTCATCACCTCAAGCACTGCTAGTCCTTAGGTGCAGGTCTTGGTCCCTAAAATGAAAAACACAAGCCTATACCCTCCAGAGGAACTGGGGAGCCTGCCCCCCCAAACAGATACGTGATGCTGGGCAGGAGCATCCCCACAGTTAGCATTTCTCGCCTTGCCTGCGTGCTTTGATGGGAGCCTCTGTAGAGAACAAGCCAGGTTTGCCGGGGGGGCGGGCAGGCTGTGGGAATGGGGGTGCTACCCAGCACTGCTCTTTGTCTGAGGTGCTGGTCACCAGTGCTGATTTAAGGAGCAGACGGGTGGATTTTCTGTCCTGCTTTCAGCAGTCATCATTATTCAGGATGCGTGTTTTCCAGGGAGGTTGCCAGAGCTGCACTGCACCGCTTGTGATGGTTAATCCTTGTACGGGAAAGCTCCACAATGGAAACTGTGAGGAGAATGCAAAATAAATTAGGAAAACCTAGCAAGCCATCATCAGTCTTTACAAAATGCAGAGACACCCAGGCCTGGCCTCCCCCAGACCTTTTCCAAGGTACTTTCTTGAAATTTAGTTTTAAAACCCATCTGTTGTTGCCCGAGGGAATCACAGAGAGGTGAGCTCCCACCGCCAGAGCCAAGTGGGCGATGTAGCCCTTTTTTTATCATTTATTTATTAATTAAACGCCCTGTGATAAGGCAGATCTACATTCAGGTCCACACACAGCTCTGCAGGCTCGGAGGGGCCTCGGCGGCCGGGAACTTGAACAAACAGCACCATCAGGTGGCTCTCCGGGAAATAGATGTGTGGAAGCACCCAGGACACCTCCAGGCGGACCTGGCCATCCCTCTGCTCTCCTCTTCCAGCCCTCCCAGCAAGGAGGGCCCACAGCCCCTCCCGGCAAAATCCAAGTCCAAAATGGTTAGAGAAAGCTCCAATGGCAGCAAGACATTTCCAGAAGGTGTTAAGGGAAAACTTTCGATCTGCTTCCCTTCCCCCTGACATGCAAGTCTTTTATGTCCTCTCCTTTCTATTGCTGTCAGCTGTGGGTATCCCAGCTCTAACTACAAGGCTTAATTGACCCCTTAAGAGGCCACCTGGCATCCAGAGCACTCGTCTGAGCATAGTACAAGGCTTAATTCCCTCCCTTAGCCTCTTCAATTTTTGAGGGTGCTAGCAAATCTATGTTTTCATCTTGAAAATGATTCTTGGTGTACAACCCCACTTTGGAGCACTGCTGGCATCCATCTCCCCCCACCTGCATAGGGAAGGAGGAGGATGCCTCGTTCAGCCTCAGGCAGGTACCCTTTCACCAAAGACTGCCTTAGACATAACTTGGTTTCTTCTCCTGGTGCTCACATATTTGGTCAGTGCAAAGTGGAAGCAGAATCTCTTTTCCACTAACTACCTAACCAGAGCAACTTCAATCTCCTGAGAGTCACAAAGCAGATATAACCCCAACACACATAAAGACAACAGATTCAGCTTCTAGAATCCAGACCTCAGCCATTTCACAAACTCTGCTCTCAGGCTCCTGCTTGTCACATTTACGTGTCCCCCTAAAGGGAGGAGAGTGCTGGATAAGACAATCTGAAGGAAAGCAAAATGCTGTTGCACCCATGGTGCTGCAGTGATTGCAGCCATACCCACTCTATTTCCATGATTACCAGAGGAGGGACCTATGCCATCAGTCTCAGTTGTTTTTCTCATACCTGGATCTTAAAATATTTTTCTTCAGGCTGTTCTCCACTTCAGTGAATAACAAGATATTTCCAGTCATCTCCTAGCAAAACTAAGGTAATTAAAATATAAATGCATATAAAGAATATGTTTAGTTGTCTGCATATTCATTTGCTTATACATACATGTCTTCTGTAAGTAAATATATGTATGCCTTACATTCATATAAGATGTAGAAAGCAACAGACACATCAGCACATACACATTCCCAGTCACATTCACAAACCTAAAGGAAAATTATTCAAGTGTGGTTCCTCAGTTCCTCAGTTCACAGTTAGTTTCAGCCTTGAGTGCCCACAGTTAGAGCTTACAGCAACAGCTCTGAAAATCAGGACCTTCCATTGTAATTTTTGTTCTTATGCATACAGAAGGACTGATTTACATATCTAATTTCAGGCTTCCAATTTTCAAAAATTTGTGGCCTGAAGAGACAATCCAGTGTTTCCAGTTATACTGCCCCCAGGGGCACTTCTGTGCAAAGCACATCATTCAGTCACCTTGAAGGGATGTCAAAGCATTGCAAGTTGTTGACAGCCCATCTCAAAAACCTATTCCTTCTGTAATAAAGAGACTTCCCAATTCCCAAATATGCTCAATGCAATAAAATTTTTGAACATCCCATCTAAAGTTGATAATAGAGCACCTATCACAAAAGACAAAAAAAGAAGAGGAAATGAGATTATATTTCCCATCATGGCATCTGCATTAAGTTCAATAGCTGCTTATTTCTACTATAATTGTGCCAAAGTCATTTTGAATTTCATTTTCTTTATGCACCTTGCTCTGAAGCTGAGATATTTTGGGAAAAACAATGCACAAGACAGTACTTAAATGCAACAGCAACATCTCACCAGTTGCTACTAATGATGTCAGAGGAGGTCAGGTGGGCACAGAAGTATGAATTGTCCCTACATTTGTACACTTTTTGAGTGGCTAAATAGCACTCAGGAGAACTGAGGTCTTTCTAGGACAGTAGGAACATGGAACACTAAGACAAAGGAATGTCTTTTTTCCTGCCACCTTAATTCTCTTTGCTTTCAAGCTCTTCCTCAGCCCTTGCCTTTAATTTTTCTGTAAAAGGAGAGCGCAGTGCTAGGGGAAGTCAGCTTGCAGCAGCATTGGATCATGGGAGAGTCTGCACAAGCCACCTCCAGGCACTTCTATAAGTACCTCTTTTCTACACTGGGCTGGCAGTTGTGCTGCTCTATTCTTGTAGAGCCATGGAGCAAGATGCTTGGGGTGGATTTGTTGGCAGATCAGTAGGGAATCATAATATTCCTGCCAAATTCATTTTCTCATGTGACCTGAGCTTGACTTAGAACATGGATTTCCTACAGAGACAAGTTTGAGCAGTGCCAGGAATTTGAAAGCCAGGTGGTCTGCAAAGCTTCTCCCCAGGCTCTGAGATCCTATTTCCTCGCGTCATTCTTTCCAGACAGCATGGAGTGCGGGCTGGGATGCTCACAGCAAACTGAGTCCTCAAAACCAATGCAATTGCTCCTTCCCACCACCATAATCCTCTGGAAGAGACTGTGACAGAAGTGGGAGGAAAGATGAGCACGTTTTCTGCTAGGAAACAGATTCAGACAGCCTTTGACCAAGAATGCTGGTGAAACTTTTCTCTGCCAGAGGAAACTCTAAAAAAAAATTTCCACTTTTTCATTTCGGCAGCATCCGAATCTGGCTTAGCTAGTCCAAACTGTCATGTCCTTGCTAACTCAGAAAGCCTATATTTGCCTAATTGGAAGAGAAAGCTATCACGCAAAGGCACACAGGTTTTCCCAAAGAAAGCTATCCATAAGTTCACTGATCTCTTAGGACAAGAAGGTCCATATATTAATTTTAGATGTCTGGCAATCTGCATACTAGAAATACCATATGGCTCTGATCCATACTGACTTCTATTAAGGAAACAAAAGCTAGAATGAGCTGGAAAATCTCCCAGATGATGATCTCTGAAAACCCATTGAGAAAAAGCAGCCTACCCTAATATACTACTTTCCCCATCCCTAAGAAACTGTCATTAAAGAAAATACATTTGGCTTCCTGGACAGGCACAATATCAGTGTTAGCATTATAATGGGACATCAGACCAGGACCTGGACCAAATATCGCAGTCACAGAATGGTCAAGGCTGGAAAGCACCACTGGAGGTCATCTAGTCCAACCTGCCTGGTCAGGCACAACTCCATACAGCACATTACTCAGGATTCTGTCTAGATAGCTTTTGAGTATCTACAGAGAAAGAGACTCCTCAGCTTCTCTGACCAATCTGTTCTAGTGCCCAGTCACTCAAAAAGAAAAGATCTTACTCATGTTCAGATGAAACTTCCTGTACATCAGTTTCTGCCCATTGCCTCTGTCCTACTGCTTGGCACCACAGAGAGAAGCCACTTTTCTCACTGTTTTGTCTCAGCAGGAACCAGGAGTAATGCACAGATTACAGCTATCTGCTTCTGCAATTCTTAACCTTCTTGTACAGATACAGAAGAATTCCTGACACAGACCAGGGAGTCGCAGCCTCATCCTAAAATGGCTCCTCTCATTCTCTCTAGAAACATGACAGAAGTGGCAGTGGTCCACCACACATACAAGCCCATATCTATAATTGCTGCCTTGTTGGCAAATTCCCGTCACAGATTGCACTCAGTTCTATCCCACCCTCACATCAGATGCAATCCACACCAACCTGTGCCTGCTGGAGCGCCTGGCTGAGGTAGCAGGATGGAGAACAGCTCACTGCACTGGCACTCTTGGGAGACAGAGAACTCAGACTTCGGCAAGTCTGAACCCTGCACCTCAGATGAAGCCACTCCTGTATCACCTCTGTTTGCTGAGGGCCCAAGGAAAGGATGAATGTAGCATGTCCTTCTCCTCCACTCTCTCCCACTCCCCCACTCCTTTCTGTCCGCCTTAGATGCAGTTGCAGCAGCCAAGCTCTCCATACACAATTACAAAAATTCTCAGCATGGAGGGAGTGATGTCTTCCATGGAAGCAGCACTTGAAACAGCACAAGTCACTGAGAAAACAACCTCCCTGTTGGCATTGTGCTGATGGCTAGGGAACACTCAGAAAACCTGTTTCTAGTCAGAGAACAGTAGGATAAACTCAGGAATAGCTTTGCTGAGAGCAACTGCAAACTCCCTTAGCACACTTCTGGAAGAATGTAGCTGGGAGAGTGTCTGCAGCAGCTATGAAATTCATTTGCATCAGACTCGCAACTTTTTGGCAGTAGGCTGACCAGTCTGAAATTCACTCCTTAAATCCATGAGAATCCAGTTTAAATTTAGTCTTTCTTCAGCTGTAGTTCCTCTGCCTCCTTTTTTAGTGTAAATTAATCCAACATCCCCGCCCATCAGTCAGAAAGGAGAGGAGAAACACAGGTTAGGGAATACTCAGGTACCAAAAGGGAACAAATGGCATAGTAGCTCAATGAAATCCCACAATACTGCCTAATTTAAACCCTGTTTTCTTGCTTGGAAGGGCTGAGCTGCTTGCTCACAATGCCTGTTCCTGGTAAAAGCATTCCACTTTCAATTGCTCTCTTTTATACAGTTCTCTCTCTGAACCAATGCTTCTTTACATACCTCCCAGCACATGATTATGAGACCATTTTTAAAGATTTCACATCAGGCCCCTATGGAAATCAATTGGATCTTTTTAGGAAAGGAATACTATAAGTGCCAGGTGATCCAGAAGCACAAGGGCAGCTATTTTGGACATTTATCCCTGCTTGCAGATGACTGTTCAATCCAAAACCCTGCTGAGTTGCCAGGTTCCCCACATAATACTTGTGCAACTACAAAATTCCACACCATTGCACTGTGTGCATTGGCTGTAGATACTTGATACCCATAGATACCACTTCCTGCCCTGTTGAGTCACCTGCAAACGAAATTTGTCTGTAGAGCCAGGAACTCTGCTCCTTAGATCAAACATTAACTAGTCCTTGGCTGAGGTCCCAGGGCATATTATGAAAGGAGTGTCTGAGCATTTCCTAGCAGGAAACTGATCTTATTCTACACAGTCAGTTCCCCATGAACACAAAGGAAACTGCGTTAGCCAAGACAGAGAAACATTTCCACCAGGAACGGAGAAACATTTCCACCAGAGTTGCAAAAATGGACAGATACCACATGACTCAATGCAACTGTCCTGGTGTGCTGTTCCTTACTGCCCAACGTGCACTGATCTGCATTGATCCAAAATTACACTCCAGCACCTCAGTGTTGGCAAACA